TCTGTGTGTGTGTGTGTGTGTGTGTGTGTGTGTGTGTGTGTGTGTGTGTGTGTGGTCAAACACCAAAACTCATGTGCCAGTGTCTTGTGATCTTATACAAGTCTGACGTGTAGTGACATTGTAAATGTAAACATATTTATCGTTTGTAGTAGCTTTTTAGTTTGGTATGACAAGTGAAGGAAAATATATCGACACAAGAACGGAAACTTAGTGCTGAGGTAGACAAAGAGAAATCAAATGGAGAAGAAAGAGGCTGATAGGACTTTAAGGAGTGGCACCCTTTAATCATGTACGTAACGGTTTAGTTTTCAGTTTTCGTGCTGAAACTTTAACTCAAGACTTCATTCATTAACTGCCTAAAGAAAACAAAAGGAAACCTAAAAAGTCTGACGTCTGGCGTCCTCAAGCGAAGAGAGGGTGGTTAGTTGGGCGTTTGTTACTAGATGGACAAAATAAATATCCCCATCAGACTTCGAATTCGCTGACGTCGTTGTTAGCTTCTCTTGGTTTCTTTTGCTTTGGGAGGAAAAAGAAAAAAACAACAACAAAAAACAAAAACAAAAAAACCATACTAGCCCCCTCACTACCACTTCCTCCGCCTTCTCTATCCTTTTCCCAAAAGAGAATAAAATACTGCTAAAAACAACAGTGGTCCACAGGAAAATCACTTTCTGTGATGCTGCTAAATTTAGAACTAACCAAGGAACGCAGAGTGGAGAAAAAAAAATAGTGATGACGTCAAAGCGACTGAGGCAAAAATGTCTACTCTCTAAACCAAGAGCAAGACAGAGACGAGATAAGAGGGACAGACGTGGCTACAAGCGCCATACTCGTGTTTGTTTTGAGAATCAGAAGAGACCCAAAGCATCCTGCTATCCACATTTCGGATTCATCCGCTCTTGACCTTAGATGGACCTGTCAACATCAAAGAACGCGCGGGAAAATTACGGGTCCAGGTACAACTGTTGTGATGAGGCGACTCGGTGAAAAGGGAGGAAAAATTCTCTGCCCCACGCGGGGGTTGGATAAACCTCCACAAGGAGAGGACGAGGAGGGAGAGAATGTGTTAATGGTCGGGTGAAAGCGCAAATTGCTGCAGTTGAAGGTTGTTTTGTTGGGTAGGGATGAGAGTGACAGGATAGGTTTGGAATCGTGAAGGTATGAGGGCGCTTTGAAAAAAGGGGGAGGTTGGGGGTGGAGGTGGGAGTGTGCCTGTGTTTGAGTGTGCGTGTTTAATTTTTTTTGTTGGTTGGGTGGGGGTGGGGAGG